CCTCACAAAAATTGTGATGGCATGTCTTCAGATCATCCTCAGAGATGCTTCTCAGACCGTCGCCAATAGCTCATCGTACAGCTCTAGTGCGACGTAAATAAAATACCTACCTATCTATCTGATGGTATTTTTTATCTAATGAGTACCTTACGTTATTTGATGCTCTCAAAAGTTATTGGTACACCGCATTTGTTGTTGGTGGCTCTTCCCATTGAAAACCAGACGATAAATAACTTGTTTTTTAAATCCTTAATAGCTGAATTTTTCTCTGATATGCTACTTTCGCTATGTATCTATAATTTAAACTCATCTCTCTCAAGATTCAGAGGATAAAATTGAGAATCATATAGATCCTCTTNCTCCGTGACAGAGCGGGATCTGTTACGTAGAGATAGCGGGTTCAAGTCTCACCGTTAACCTAGTGTCTCTGTAATGTCCTTATGTGTACTATTTGTTCTTAAATTCTGACAAATGACTTATGAGCCACCTCTGTTATGAGCAATATAGTAGTAATATTTTTGATCCCATCAAATACTCAAAATACTTTCCAAACAAATAGGGTCGGATATAAAAACACCGTGCACTCAGTATTAATATAGTGATCCGTTCAAAATTGATACATCACTGTATAATACAAAAAATTTTATATCATTTTGAATTAAGTAATTTTAGATGGCAAAACCCGAAATTTGAAACAATATTTTTTGAAAAATTCAAATTTAAATATTCGAATATATTTTTTGAAAAATTAAATTTTAAAATTAAGGTTTTCTTAAAATATTCCACCACAATTCAGCTGGTTGTTCCATCTATCGAATATTTTCTATCGATCGATCGAATATTTTTCCAACCAACTTCCTTTTGTTTTGTACTCGAATCGGATATCATTTGAAGAGCTTTCAAGCCCACTCTCTTTTGAACAATTCTTCAACCCGCAATCTTTTTTATCGGTACTTGTTAAAATTCAAGACTCATACAAGTAATTTTGAAAATCCGTTAAATGGTTTCTTTTATGAAAAATAAACACTGAAAATATGCTATCTGCAGAGTAATTTATAGAGCTTAGAAATTGACAGCCAAAAGTAAGAGTTTGCGCCTAAAGAACTTAACTAAACAAATATTTTACAGAATAAAATACAGCTAACATACACACCTTGTTTCGATGTCCTTAAAGCCAGAGTTCATTTCTGGTTACTTCTGTTAATCAAGAAAATGTTGCTCTTTCATTACATGCTGTGAAATTCAGGAATCCGGGGAGCAATAGTCAGGCTGCTCTTTCATTACATGCTGTGAAATTCAGGCATCCGGGGAGCAATAGTCAGGCTGCTCTTTCATTACATGCTGTGAAATTCAGGCATCCGGGGAGCAATAGTCAGGCTGCTCTTTCATTACATGCTGTGAAATTCAGGCATCCGGGGAGCAATAGTCAGGCTGCAATTAAATATTAACTATAATTACTGGATCGTAAACCACTTACATTAGTAAACGGATGCATTGAAAGTGATTTTTAAAAAAATTGAAATTTTCAGTTTGAAATGTTACGGTAAGCATTGTACGGATTTTCAACAGCCCACTAAATTAAATCATTTTGATTGGTAGAAAAAGGAAGCCGTTTAAATGATATTTTTTCAAGCAGATTGTTTTTAAATTTCAGATTCATTTTATTTTGCACGAAAAAAAACGCCCCAGTTAAAAAGGTATTTTGTTTGACGATTCAGTTGCTTAGCAACCAGGAGGCACTCGTCCATTACTTAGCATTGGAGAGGAATTTTATAAATTTTGCCATTTAACAAATTAATAAAGCTTTCCTTAAACACCGCAGAAAATCTTAATTCACAGAAGCTTTTCTAATGATATAAATTTTAAGCGAAGAATTAATCAGATCATAAAATTCACGAAACCCAACCCATTTTCTGATCTCATAAGTTGCTCTTTATTACACAATGTTCTAAAAACGTCACATTGTCTGCTTATTCTTATTAGCCAGAAAAATCACTTCGTTTCTCAAAATTAAGATTTCTTTCAAGAGCATAATTAAAAA